AACACGGCTCTGCAGGGGGGTTCATGGATGTTTCAAAGTACAGGAGGACACGGGGAATGAATTGAAAGAAAGGAGTGTTTTCTTATGACCATGCACTCACTCACCCACACTCGCGCACTCACCCACACTCCCAGCACTCACTTTCACTCAAGCACTCGCCCACACTCAAGCACTCGCCCATACTCAAGCACTCGGCCACACTCAAGTATTCGCCCACACTCGCCCACGAACCTTTCTGTTCATAGCCACAGACAACCAGGTTCTAGAGGGTGAGAAACAAGAGGTGAGAATCAAGGGGCGAGAAGCAAGAGGATTAGGAAACGAGGGTGAAAAGGGCGAGGGTAAGAAGCATGAGGGTGGGAAATGAGGAGAGGAGAAGAAAGGGAGAGAGCTGAGATGGAGGAAACAATAGCCTCAATCTAAGCAGCAGCAGTTAACTCTCTTACCTCCTGACTGCCTGAGAGCACAGGTCAGTGGAAATAGTCAGCCACTCAGCCAATCACACATTGGACTCACTCACGCGCCATGCATGCTCTCACTCACTTCCCACCACTCACCATAGCATGTCTTGTCTGTTTCGTTGAAGGCCTTAGCCCGATCACCGCAAATGCACTGAGGAATGGAAAGATCACTGCCTGTCCGAATGCAGGTGGCACTTGATCCGCAGTCCAATTTGGCACACGGGTCTGCACGGGGGGGTCATTGACGTTCCGAAGCACAGACAGGAGGGGCAAGCGGGACGAATTGAAAGAAAGGAGTTTCTTTCGTATAACCGTGCGCTCACTCGCTCACGCTCGCGCGCTCGGAAACTAAGTGGAGAAAGACGCACGCGTCCTGCTGCGTCCTGCGTCTGGACGCAGCGTCCAGACGCAGAGACGCAGGACGCACCCCATTTTGTTTTTCGGGCTGACCGGATTTTTTTTTTTTGCCCCAGCGCGAAATTGACTTTGACGATTTCGACGCGACTGTCAATTTCGCGTCATGTCGACCCCCCCTAACCCATTTCGACCATCAAAAACACCCTAGAGGGTTTACCAAGACAATTCTCCTTCGTAAACCCTAAACCCTGAAAATTGGAAGGGGATGATTTTGCCTCAAATGTGTGCATCGAAGTTCCCCCCCCCCCTTCCCATACCCTATAACATCATTTTTCGGCTGCCCGGGGGTTTTTTTTGCCCTGCCCGGGCATGCGTCTTTTCATGCGTCCTAAAGGCCCTCCTCTAGCGTCCTGCGTCTGGACGCATGCGTCCTAGACGCAGGACACGTCTTTCTCCACTCAGCTCGGAAACACTTGCACACTCGCCCATACTCGCGCACTTGCCCACACTTGCACACTCGCCCACACTCGCGCACTTGCCCACAAACCGTTTCGTTCGAAGCACACAGCCAGCCAGGTGCTAGAGCGTGAGAAACAAGAGGTGAGAATCAAGGAGGCGAGAAGCAAGAGGACTAGGAAAGAAAGGCGAAAAGGGCGAGAAGCATGCGGGTGGGAAATGAGGGAGGAGAAGAAAGGAGAGGAGAAGACCAAGAAGGAAGAGAAAGAATCATCACTATGAACATCAGGGTCTCTTGTTTTCTTACTGCCATCAGGGTCTAGGGTTTAGTATACCACGTTTGACTCGCTCCCTTGCCATGCGTGCACTCACTCACACCTCACCATGAGGGTGAGAAGCAAGAGGATTAGGAAAAAGAGGGTGAAGAGCGTGAGGGTGAGAAGCAAGAGGGTGGGAAACGAGGGAGGAGAGAAAAGGAGGGGAGAAGGCTAAGAAGGAAGAATAAAAAAACTTTGCTCTGAGCAGCAGCAGCTGAATCTCTTACTGTCTGACTCCCTGACAACACAGGTAAGTGGGAATAGTCAGGCATTTAGCCAATCACACATTGACTCCCTCCCATGCCATGCGTGCTGTGCACTCACTCACTCCCCACCACTCACCATAGCATGACTTGTCTGTTTGGTTTACGGCATTAGTACGATAATTGCAAACGCACTTGGGGATGTTAAGGTCACTGCCTGACCGAGAGCAGTAAGCACCTGACCCACAAACCACATTGGCACACACGTCTGCAGGGCGGTTCATGGGGTTCAGAAGTACAGAGGGCACGGGGGATGGATTGAAAGTAAGGAGTTTATTCTTATGACCGTGCACTCACTCACCCACACTCGCGCACTCATCCACACTCGCGCCCTTGCCCACACTCTCGCCCTCACCCACACTCGCTCACTCACCCGCGACCCTTTCTGTTTGAAGCACACAGTCAGCCAGGTGCTAGAGCGTGGGAAACAAGAGGTGAGAATGAAGGAGGCGAGAACCAAGAGAATTGGGAAAAAGAGGGTACTAAGGGCGAGGGTGCGAACCATGAGGGTGGGAAAAGTGGGACGAGTAGAAAGGAGGGGAGAAGGCTAAGAATGGAGAACAAAACCCTCATTCTGAGCAAGAGCGGCCAAATCTCTTGCTTTCTGACTGCCTGAGAGCACAGGTCAGTGGGAATAGTCAGCCTGTCAACCCATCACACATTTGACTCACTCCCATGCCATGCGTGCACTCACTCACTCCCCACCCACCACTCACCATAGCATGTCTTGTCTGTTTCGTTGAAGGCATCGTTAATATCATCACACCAGCAACGAGTAGTGTTATCGGATTTAGAAACGGCGCAATAAGCACCGCTTGACCCGCAGTCAATGTTGGCACACGGGTCTGCCACATGGGGGTCACAGGGGGTTCCACAGAAGTTCCGAACGAAATATAGTCGGGCAAGGGGGTTGAGAAAAAGAAAGGAGCTTTTTTTCCTAGTATGGCCATGCAATCGCCGCACACAGTTAGCCAGATGCTAGAGCGTGAGAAACAGGACGAAACGCATGAGGGGGAAGCATGAGCGAGCACCACTTGGGGTGCCATGGTACTCACCACCTTTTGAAGCGCTGGGTTTAGAAGTGCTGGGTCGTTTAGAAGCGCTGGGTTTGAAAGCACGACCGCTGGGTTTGAAAGCGCTGGGCTTGAAATCGCTGAGCTTAAAAGCGCTGGCGTGGGTCGCGAGGAAGCTGATTGCGACGAGCGCGGCGAAGCCCAGGCCAGACAGGCCGGATAGGCCGGACAGGCCGGACCGCCGCCCGTAGTAGCGCTCCATCACGGGCCCGGGGAGAAGGGGAGACGGCGGGGATCAGCGATCACACACAGCGGAGAAAGGGCTCCTGTCAAGTACGGAGATTGAACCGCCGCGGCTCACGACAGTAGTAGTGCGAGGCTTGCACTGCAAGCGCGGGAAGGCCCTGAGATTGGGCCGCGGAACCTCGACGGTGCGACAGAAAGGAGGAGGACGAGATGTGGAGAGGCACGCAATGCCAGCGAGCAGGTGCGAGAGGAAGTGCGACTTGTGAATGATGTGGCCTGAGAAGCGGGCGTCCATACTATAGTGCCTTGATCTCAAGGCCATACGCCTTGAGAGTGAGTGGTGCATGGCTCGCACACATCTCGTTTCCGGAATCTCAGCGGATGATGTATCGCGTTTCATTTCATCGCTGAAGGGAGGGGCGCGTAGGGGCGCAGCGGGGACGCTGCGCGCATTCATCCGACCGTCGGGAACTAGGCGTTCACGTGGGCAGCGCGAGTGAGTCAGTAGGGTGTGGCAAATTCCGTGATGGCCGCAAGAAGAGGAACGCGATAAGGAGGACGAGAGGCCTTCCGGGAAGTGGCGACCAGGCGCCTGGTGTGCTGGTGTGACGCGTTTAGCTAGCCAATCAGACGAGGCTGGATTCAAACTCCATGGCTGGGCACAAGGCGACATGCTATTTACCTTGCGACACCGCATGTTGTTGCACTGAACCGATTATCACCGTATAGGACGCGAACGGGCGGACTTGAAAAAAAAAAGAAGCGCATTTCGCGCTGCAGCAAGGGCGGGCCCATGATCCTTAAGAGAGATAGTAGGTCCTAAGACCGTAGTAGCTCTGAAACCATGTCAAGAAAGTAGGCTTAGGAGAAACTTAGGTTTTAGGAAGAGAGAGGGAGTTGGCCAAGAAAGAAGGGGCTTCAATATAGAGAGAGATACAAGATATAGGGCAAGGGAAGGTGGCCAAGGGGGGTATACCACCAACAATAGAAGTGATACTACACTAGCTAGTCTAATATGCAGAAATACAATTTCTGACACTCTGCTCCACCAGCCCCCACCCATCTACCATCCCTCTGGCGCTGCACCCCGCCCCATCTACAGCCAACTAGGGCCGCCGGTTCTTTGCTTGTCCATCTCTTCGTAGTGGACCTGATCAACTCAGGTTGCAGCCCCTCCCTCCCTGCTGAAACTGCTCGCACCTCTGCTCCAGCAGCCCCTCCCTCCCTAGTGGGCATGATCAACCTGAAGTTGCAAAGGGAAGGGCGAATAGAGGGCAGGCCACAGCATAAGAAGTGAGATGAGGCAGAAGATGATAGAGGAAGATGTGTAACTGACATGTGGGCTGTTCATGGGTGCATGTGGGCTGTTCATGGGTGCATGTGGGCTGTTCATGGGTGCATGTGGGCTGTTCATGGGTGCATGTGGGCTGTTCATGGGTGCATGTGGGCTGTTCATGGGTGCATGTGGGCTGTTCATGGGTGCATGTGGGCTGTTCATGGGTGCATGTGGGCTGTTCATGGGTGCATGTGGGTGGAGGAGAGCTGGCTGCACCGGCTTGGAAGAGAGCACGGCACAAATCTCCCTTACTTGTGCACCCACACTTCAGAGCATGCATTTATCCCTCTCCCTTACTTGTGCACCCACACTTCAGAGCATGCACTTATCCCTCTCCCTTACGTGTGGTGCACCCACACTTACCGATCTGGCAGCCAACTGATTGCGACGTCTGGGCCAATTTGACATTCCTGAGAGAGGGAGAGGTAAGGATGGGGAAGAGCAAAGAATGAGGACGAATCACTCCATTCACGTTGCAACCGCCAAGCAAAGTCTGGTGATCAATGAGCACTATACCGATGGGCTAGAAGAAGAAAGGACCAAACCACAGATCACGTGGCGTGCATCACACATGTGCCGCGCCTCACACATGCACCGTGCATCACACTCACACACCTTTTTGTGACGGGAAAGGCAACGCCCGTCCTCGCAGGACGTACGATAGTCAGAGTCGCCTGCCCTGAGCAGCCCGTGCCGGAGTAGAAGTTCAAAGCATAGCACATGCCGTCGCCAGCCGCAGCAAACTTGGAGGCTCTCCACACAACAGTGATCTTGGCGCTGCCAGCAATGCTGGAGGTGAGGTCGCTGCACGCGGAGCTGCCACCAAGCGCATCTGCCGGGCCAATGGTGGAAAAGGTGAGCTTCTGCTTCTGCTGCCTCTTGGCCTTGCCGCGCTTGCGGTTGCGCCCCCCAAGCCTGGAGTTGCCTTGCAGCTCCAGCGTCGTCCGCAGTAGAGGGACTGAGCGGCCAGTGAGACGGGGGAAAGGAGTGGAAGGGGGCAGGTGGGGGAGGTGCGGGGGGAGTGAGGAGACGGGTAAGGGTTGCGCCCACGTCTGGAGAAGGTGAGCTTGTGCTTCTGGGCCTTGCCGCAGTTGGCGTTGCCTGGCAGCTCCAGCATCGTCCGCAGTTGAGGGACTGAGCGGCCGGTGAGACGGTTGGCAGCAGAGAGGAAAAGGAAGGGGAAAATCAAGGGAGGAGTGAGGAGATGAAAGCAGCCAAGTGGCTCCAGCGTCATCCGGAGTATGGGGCCTGAGTGGCCAGTGAGACGATAGACAGCACGAATGGAAAAGGCAGGGAAAGGAAAGGGCCAGGCAGGGGAGAACGTGCGGGAGAAGTGAGGGGATGTAAGCAGCCAAGTAGCTTCACCGTTGTCCGGAGTACGGGGCCTGAGCGGCGGTGAGACAGTTGACGACACGAATGGGGGTTTGAAGGCGTCGAGTTGGGAGCGGGACCGAGGAAAGGAGAGGAAGTGGGAAGGTAGGGGGGAGGTGCGGGAGGAAAGCAGCTAGTCTCCAAGAGTTGGCTCTCAGCGTTGCCTCCAAGAGTTAATTCTCAGCCTTGCCTCTCAGCGATATGCTGCCTCTCAGCCTTGCCTCTCAACGTTGCCTCTGAGTGTTGTCTGCTGAAATGTGTCTGAAACATATTGCCTAGCACTCACGATAGCACGTCCTATAAGCCTCGCTGAAGACAAAACCAGCGATGGGGCACACGCACACGGGATCGCCATCACCGGCCCGAGTGCAGTCAGCATTGCCACAATCCAGGGCCGCACATGGCTCTGCAGGGGAGATTATGGGTCAGTAGGGGAAGGGGCTTAGACGAGTTGAGCTCTTGCTTATTATGCTGTAAGTAGTGGTTTTCTTAATCATATGAACGTAACATACAGAAACTCGCAGTTTCATTGCCCACACACTCACCCACACATGCATACTCAACCACACACGAGCACACAACCACACGTGCGCACTCACCCACACCCGCACACGTCTTGGTATCGTTATAGAACTCAGAACCATCATCGCACAAGCACTCGGCTTTGTTATCGGGACCCACATTGCACTCCGCATCGGCCCCACAATCCATGTTGGTACACACGTATGCACAGAAATTGTGAATCGTTCCGGAAAAAGTTTGGGAAAGCGAGTTAGAGGAAGACAGAGATTGTGAATTGTGCACCCACCCACACTCCACCACCCACCTACACTCCATCACCCACCCACCCACACTCCACTTCTCACCCACACTCCACATCTCACCCACCCACCCACACTCCATCACTGCAAGCGAGGCCTCTCGGGAATGCCTCGTGGGAACTGAAACTGTGGACACGTGAAAGGTGGTTGCCTTAAATGAAAAACATGTTGCGCAAAAACGTGTGCAGTCGCCGTTCGGTAACGGAAACGAGGGTGAGACGCATGAGCGACGGTGCCACGGTGGGTGCCAGACAGTCAGGACTCACCATCAGCAGCGCTGGCGTGGGTCGCGAGGAAGCTGATGGAAACGAGACCCGCGACGAGAGCCACGAGGCCACACAGGCCGGACAGCCGCCCATAGCGCCGGTCCATGGTTGCGAAGGGGATGATCGGGAGGAAACGGGGAGATGGAGAGAAAATCGATCGAATGCGACGGCAAGAAGGTTTCAAGTCAGAGCTGAAGCGTGTCAGATTTATATGACATAGCTACTGTAGGCTATAGTGGGGTAGCACATATGGGGTACAGTTTTCTAGGGTTTACATTTGTACCCAACTTTCCCTTAGTCAATTCATTTCTCGTTCAGTTTCTCATGGTATCGAGCAGGTTCCCCTGTGGGAACTGTTCCTAGGGCCCACCACCTTTTTTTTCCTGCCCGGAGCGCGCTCTACACTGCCCGAGTCGCGCTCCCCTCTCTCGACCCTGTCGCGCCGCCTTAGCGGCCCCGTCGCATCGCGCCTGCGGCCCCGTCGCGTCGCCCTCGCGGCCCCTGCACGTCGCGCCGCCCTAGCGGCCGCGTCGCGCCGCCCTCGCGGCCCCGATCCGCCGCCCTCGCGGCTCCTTCGTGTCGCGCCGCCTCGCGGCCCTTTCACGCCGCCCTCGCGGCCCTTTCTAGCCGCCCTCGCGGCCTCTTCAAGCCGCCCTCGCGACCCCCCCCTTCCTAGCCGTCCTCGCGGCCCCGTCGCCTACCCCTGCGGCCCCGGCGCCGCCCTTCCCTGCCTCGGCGCCGCCTCTGCTGGCCCCGTCGCCTACCCCTGCGGCCCCGGAGCTGCCCTTCCCGGCCCCGGAGCTGCGCTTCCCGGCCCCGGCGCCGCCTCTACTGGCCCCGACGCCGCTCCACCCGGCCCCGACGCCGCTCCACCCGGCCCCGACGCCGCTCCACCCAGCCCCGCCGCCGCTCCACCCGGCCCCGCCGCCGTCCCCACGCGGCCCCGCCGTCACCACCGAGCCGCCGGCGCCGCCGAGCTACTGCCGAGCCGCCCGATCCACCAGAGCCGCCCGAGCCGCCGCGCCACCTGAGCCGCCCGAGACGCCGGGTCGCCGAGCCGCCGAACTGCAGTTGCTGCTGAGCCGCCGTACCGCCGAGCCGCCCGAGCCGCCCGAGCCGCCGAGTCGCCGAGCCGCAGTTGCTGCCGAGCCGCCGTACCGCCGAGCCGCCCGAGCCGCCCGAGCCGCCGAGTTGCCGACCCGCCGAGCCGCTCGAGCCGCCCTGTCCGGTAAGAGCAGCGCCTCTGTCACTGCACTGCCCTTACCCTACTGTTCGCGCTGCTAGTCTACTGCTATCATGGCTACCCCTAGTGTCCTCGCTTTTGACGCTGAGGGTCGGGCCATTGACTTTGACGTCCGGGTAGATGACCTGCAGCTTTTCCTACAGTGCGATAGGGCAGACGGTCTCTCCCTCTTTGATCTCACCTCTGGTGCCTCTCCTGCCCCTGCTGCTGATGCCGACGCCACTGTTCGCTCACAGTGGGCCACACGCGATGCTACTGCACGTCTTGCTGTGCGTCGCCACCTGCCTACCTCTGAGCGTGCGCACTTTAGCCAGTACAAGAGTGCTCACACCTTGTACGACGCTGTAGTTGCGCGCTACTCCTCCCCTGCCACTGCTGCACTGAGCCGCCTCATGCTACCGTACCTCTTCCCTGACCTTGCTGCCTTTCCCACAGTCGCTGACCTCATTACGCACCTCCGCACTAGTGACACTCGCTACCGCGCTGCGCTTCCTGCTGAGTTCTGCGCCAAGAACCCCCCCCCCATGTACATCACCCTCTACTACATAGTCACCCGGCTCCCTGACTCCCTTCGCGTAGTCAGGGACCACTTCCTCTCAGTTTGCCCCACCACTCTCACCGTTGACCTCCTCGAGAAGGCCCTCCTAGCAACAGAGAAGAGCATAGTCGCTGTAGGAGCCTCTCGTGGTGACCCTCGCACCCCCGTGGAGGAGGCGGCGGCGGAGGAGGTGGATCTGGTCGGGGTGGCGCTGCGCAGAGGGTCGGCTCCGGTGGTGGTCAGCGCCAGCAGCAGCAGCAGCAGCGGCAGCAGTGCACTCGTGACATCCCCCCCCCTCAGCAGCTCCGTGAGTGGTACGCTGCACGCCAGCGGGGTGGGGGTACTAGTCCGTGCACCTACGTCCTACGCACCGGCGACCGCGCGGGTGAGCAGTGCGGGGGTGCGCACTCCACCCAGCGCTGCTTTGGCCGCCTGACGGACGCTTGGTGTCACCAGTTCCCTGAGGCCACTGAGATCCCCCGCTGGGGCGAGCTTTCTAGGGCGGGTGTAGCTGTCTTTGACCTTGACTTTGATGCTATTCTTGCTGCCATGTATGCTGTGACTATTAGTGATGAGGGTGACTGTTACCGGTGTTTTCCGCCCGACCCGGGCATTGAGACTGCTGCTCTAGGTACTGGTGAGGCTGCTGCTCTAGGTGCTAGCGAGGCTGCTGCTCTAGGTGCTCGTGCGTCTGCTCCCTCAGGTGCTGGTGAGTCTGCTCTCTCAGGTACTGCGTCGGCTTCGGCCTCCCACACCTTCACCCTTGACTCGGGGGCTTCTCGCTCCTTCTTTCGAGACCGCACCACACTCACGCCGCTTGGCCGGCCAGTTGCAGTCTCTCTGGCAGACCCCTCTGGGGGTCCTGTCCTTGCTCACTTCTCCACTGTCCTCCCGTGTCCGGCGGCCCCCTCTGGCACCCTGTCTGGTCTTTACCTCCCCTCGTTCTCTACGAACTTGGTGAGTGGTGCTGACCTACAGGATGCGGGGGTTCACCAGTTCACTCCTGCGAGTCAGCGGGTGACCCACTGCACGGACGCTCGGTCAGGCCGACACCTGGCCACGTTTACACGTCGGCCGGGGTCGAGCCTGTACACACTGACCACTGCGTCTCCTCCAGTCACTGCGTCTGGTCAGGTAGCTGCGTCGGGTCAGGTGTTTGCTGCAGCGTCCAGGTCTGGTCCTGAGTCTGCCCCCTGTTCGTGTCGCCTCCTGTCGCACGAGACTCTCCTCTGGCACCACCGCCTTGGTCACCCCTCCCTGCTTCGTCTCCGAGGCATGGCCTCCCGTGTCCTTGTCTCTGGTCTTCCCCGGTCCCTCCCTCCCCTTCCTCCGGGGCCCGGCCCTACCTGCGTCCCTTGTGTCGAGGGGCGGCAGCGGGCTGCCCCTCACTCCTCCCAGTTTCCTCCGACAGAGGCCCCGCTGCAGACGCTTCACATGGACGTGTGGGGCCCGGCCCGCGTCCGTGGACAGGGTCACGAGCGCTACTTTCTGCTGGTGGTTGACGACTACTCGCGTTACACCACAGTCTTCCCCTTGCGCAGCAAGGGTGATGTCACTGAGGTGTTGATCGACTGGATCCGCGCAGCTCGTCTCCAGCTCAGGCAGAGCTTCGGCTCGGACTTTCCTGTTCTGCGTCTGCACTCTGACAGAGGTGGAGAGTTCTCCTCTGGCCTTCTGCGAGCCTACTGTCGTGCACGAGGCATCCGCCAGACCTTCACGCTTCCGGACTCTCCACAGCAAAATGGGATTGCTGAGCGCCGCATTGGCATGGTCATGGACGTCGCCCGTACGTCCATGATGCATGCGGCTGCCCCCCATTTTCTGTGGCCGTTTGCGGTTCGGTACGCGGCGCATCAGATCAACCTTCACCCCAGGGTCTCCATGCCGGAGACCTCCCCAGATTTGCTGTGGACGGGGAAGGTTGGCGATGCGTCTGCGTTCCGTGTCTGGGGATCTCGGGCGTTTGTCCGCGACTTGTCTGCGGACAAGCTGTCCCCTCGTGCTGCTCCTTGCGTCTTCCTTGGCTTCCCCCCTGACGCGCCAGGGTGGCAGTTCTACCACCCCACCTCTCGCCGTGTTCTGTCCTCCCAGGACGTCACGTTTGACGAGTCGGTCCCCTACTACCGCCTCTTCCCCTACCGCACTCCGTCCCTCCCCCCGCCACCGCTCTTCCTTGTGCCAGGTCCCCCCCCGGTAGACCCCCTCCCCCCTCAGGGTCCTGCCCCTTCAGGTGTGTCCCAGGTAGACGCCGTCGAGCCTGTCGAGGTTACTGGTGACTCTGGTGCTGCTGAGGGTGCTGAGCCTGGGGGTGCTGACTCTGGGGGTGCTGAGCGTGTGGGTGCTACGCCTGGGGGTGCTGAGCCTGAGGGTGCTACTCCTGGGGGTGCTGAGCCTGGGGGTGCTGAGCCTGGGGGTGCTACTACTGGGGGTGCTGAGCCTGGGGGTGCTGAGCCTGGGGGTGCTACGCCTGGAGGTGCTGAGCCTGGGGGTGCGGAGCCTGAGGGAGCTGGGCCTGCTCGTGTGGCGTCTGGCAGTGCTGAGCCTGGAGGTTCTCCGGGTGCTTCGTCTCGGCGGGAGCCACTCTCTCCACAGGAGCTGCGCGAGTGGTTTGCCCGGCGCTGGAGGCGTGCTGCTGGAGCTGGAGGTTCTTCGGCTGCTGAGGGTGCTGGTGCCGCGGGTCCCGGAGGTGCTCGTACTGGGAGTACTGGAGCTGCTGGGCCTGCGGGTACGACTGGAGCTGGAGCTGCTGAGGGTGTTGGCACTGAGGCTACTGCTGTCGGTCCTGGAGGCGGTCCTGCTGGGGGTGCTACTGGTGCTGCTGGAGGTACTGGAGCTGGAGGTGCTGCTGGCGCTGGTGCTGCCGCTGGGGGTACTGGTGCTGTCCCTGCTGTGTCTGGAGTCGCCGCGCGGCCTCGGCCGTACTTCGTTCCGCTCCTTCAGCAGGTTCTTGGTCTCCTGCCTTCTACTGGTCCTCCTCCTCCCTTAGAGTGTCCACAGCCTGTCCCGTCACAGTTCCAGTTACAGCCGGCCTCCCCACTGCCCGCTCCTTCTCCCTACACTGGTCCTACTGGAGGTCTGGCTGAGCGTCGTGAGCCTGCGTCTCGCCCTGCGTCGCCTGTCCGTCTTGCTCGCACTAGTGGTCGTGGTTCGCGTCAGCGTCCTCCTCCTGTCCCTGGCACGCACAGGATGTCTCTGCGTCCGTCCACTGCTCCTCTGCGTGCCCCTTTGCCTTCTCCTCCTGAGTCCTCTCTTCCTGCTCTTCCCGACCCGGAGTCGGACTCTCTTCGTGCTGCCAGTCCTACTGTCACGCGTCTCCTTGCTACTG